TACACAGATTTGCTTATAGATTACCACAGAAGTCCACCATGTACTGGTGTGCTTCTCTTATAATATTCAAGTAATTTCATAGTTTTAATTGCATAGTTCTGCACTGAGTTTCCACCCTTCTCAGTATACAGATAACTTTGGGTTGTATCTTTAGTTCATTTATATCTTCTTAGTTTATTTTTTACATTTTGTGTAAACCGCCCAGAGCAGACACACTCTAGATGGGAAGTACAGTATATAAGTTTAATAAATAATAATATTAAAATAATAACTTAGTTTCATACCATTTAAAAGCCACAAAAGACAGATACTGGCTAAATTAATATAGCAAAGAATCAATTTGAATGTAATCTCCAGTTAATTTTTTTTTTTTGCTTTGAATACAAGTGGGTTTAATGCATTCTCATGTGTACACATATGTAGCACTTGCACGAATAAATGAGGATGAAGTCAAACTACAAAAATATTCTCACACGTGACATACTCAGAAACTGGTGGAGACCCAGTTTCTCAGTGCTGTGTTTTAATCTGAATTTTGCAGATATTATCCAAGATGTGGAACTCCATCTTCCAGATAGGTTCAGCATTTTGAATGGCTCCTGTAAAGTTAAAATCTGGAGCAGATTCACTGCTTCCATGAAATGAAAGTCACCAGCCTCCTGTCTTAAAGTTCTTTATTGGTCTGTTTAGTCCTTAAAAGTAGTAGATCTCAGGACAAGTACTTGCCTCTTTTTGCTGATTTTCAAATTAATTCTTCAAATAAAATACCTTTTAAAAGACCCTCAGGTGACAGGAGAGTGGAAAGAACCCTAGTTTTCATTCATGTTTGTTTTGCAGTGATTCTAGACAGTTCAGACACTGGTTTCCTGGTATCTTTTTCCTTCCTGCTGTTTAATATTCTACTGGTGTGAAACATAACAAAATGTCAAGCTCCTGACATATGGCTGAACAAATCTCTTGTATGGGATTGAAGTCTCTCAAATGTGCTAACAAGCCTGAAAACCTTGTTCTTGGACCTAGCCACTCATCCGTAAAATCAGGACATTAGGATGCTTGTAATGGGATGGCTACAGAGCTCTGCGTTCGGCAAGCATGGCTAATCTTCTGCTCTGGGGCCAGCCAGTTGCAATCTCATTATAAAAGTCTAGCCGTAAATGTTTAGTAGATGGAGGGATATCATGTAGCTGGCTCTGTGGTGTCCAGAATATTTTGGAGAGTGGCTGATACTGGCTCAAATCCATCAGTATGTCACAACTAAGGTAGGCCCACTGAATCAGTAGGGATTTGGTGAGCCACTCCTTCAGAAATTCCACTGATTCAATGAGCCTGTTCTAGTTGTGTTTACTATCATTCATTCATTCAGATTCTATGCCACCTCATTAGCGAAAACACTGTCAAACAGTACAAAATGGTAATATACAAAAATATAATAACCCAGTCACATTGGTTAAAAACTAAGAAAAAGCAGCCATTGCCAAACTTCTATAGGAGGCGTATTCCACAAGGGGCCACAATTGAGAAAGCAGAATTCTTGGTTGCAACTCTTAGGCGTCTTTAGATGTCACAGTTTTTAACATCACAGACTGTGAGCAGCACGTGGGATAGGCAGCTACAGTATTTTATGGGAAAGATGTTCCATCCAGTGGATCGGCAGACTGTGTTAGACCTCTAGCTGACTGCTGTAGCTAGACAAGGATTTCTAATTCCTAGTGATTTAACTCTAGAGTCTCTATATTCTCTACCCTTGGGCATAAGCCCCATTGAGTCAGCTGGGCTCACTGCCAGTCGACTGAATCCACAACTCCAGTTTAAAGCTAGGAGAAGATAGTTCTTTTTAGCATCGGGGAAGACTAAAACAGATCCAGGAAGCCCCCGCTGACCCAGACTATCTCAGAGTGGTGGAGTCCTCGGCATCTGAAGTTTTTAAGCAGAAGCCGGATGGCTACTCGGATTTGTCAAGAGTTCTTTTGGATTTCAGATGATTTCCAACTCTACAATTTTATGGTTTTAATTTAAAAGGGGAAGTCCTTTTAAACCATCATGAAACCTTAGGGTCCCAGCTTCCATGACAACCATTGGCCTCCTCGGTCTCTGTTTATTCTGCCTGGGTCTCTTATTCCTTTCAACCTTCTTTCTCTCTTCTCTCTCTCTCTCCTTTCTCACCTCCTACCACTCTGGCTCTTCTATCAGCAATTTGCTGCCAACATCTCCTCCTTTTTTGGCCTCATATGGTTCTTCCTCTCCAGCTTTTGAATCTCTCCCCTGGGCTGGCCAGATCTCTCATGTTGCCAGGCAACCCTTTTGGGGCACGACATGTGCTATTGCTGTCATTTCTGCCAATGGGGAGGAACCCCTCGGTTGGGACCAGCTGCCTCTGGAGGGATGGAGTGGGATGCTGTGGTCACACACTCCCTCCCAGCAGCGATAAGAATGGAAGGTGTGACAGCAAACCCTTTTGCCTTGTTGTGTACAATAATACAATGATTCTGTTTGCCAACCTAAGAACATAAACACAGCTGAACGGCTGTAATAAACTTTCAACCTAATTGTTATGCACATTATATTCTGCACCAGTTGGGGGTGGGGGAAGAATGTAGTTTCCAAAGCGGTACAGGGTAACATGAACCATGAAATGGGAAATGGTCCCTCCCAAGAAGCGATTATTGCTAGAAGTAATGGGCTCCAAATTGATAAAGAAAAACAATAGACACATGTAAATGTGTAATATGAAAGTAAAACACCAATGGTGCCTGAAAAGGCAAGGGTAGCTGTGCTGTTGTGATAAGATTAGCTAATGCCTTCATCTGGCAGCTGCAACCGATGGGTTTCTCAAACATCAAGCCACATAGAGTAATGGATAAAATAAACCTTTCACAGGCCAACTAGGAATATGTGCAACACCCATAATTTCAATGAACAACACTGAAACCACATCCTTATTCATTTTCCCTACTCTATCTGTTAATTGATTTCCCAGCATCAGCTTTGAGTTCCTGGCTATGAAACTTCCCTTTTCTACAGAGATTCTACAAATCTATTACAGGATGACAGTCAGTGGATGCTTTTAAGAATTTATCTTGCTAGGAAATTCTGTTTTCACAGATTAGATCAGAAATACTGAATCACAAAGAAAATGAGATGCATTCTCAAAGGGTTTCATGGCCGGAAATCAATGGCTGTTTGGCAGTGTTCTGGAGGTTTTTCTTCCTAATGTTTCGCCAGTCTCCGTGGCCGGGGTCTTCAGAGGACAGGAGTCAGAACTTTCTCTGTGTTGTACTATCCTTCGTACTACCTCTCCCAGTTATGTTTACGATTTGGTATTAGCTGCCATTGCCAGAGTACTTTTCTTGCGTGGTGAAGAAGAGGCTCAAGACACAAGAAAGTTAATACCTAATAATTCACAAATGGATTTTGATAAAAATCCTCATGTGTTACCAAGTTAAAAATCTGCCAGTTTGAGGCTGCAGTTGCATCACTGTAAAATAAATTTTCAAATCTAAGCTTGCAATAATACAAGGTAGCTAGTTTCTTTCCAAAACTCATTGCATCATGCCCTCTTTTTGAATTTTGGGAAAGTTGCATGCCTTCACTCTTCACCTTCATCCCCCTCCCTTTTAACACAAATATTCAAACATTATTTTGAAATTAAAAATAAAGCCAAAACCTTAGTAACAATTAGAGTTAAAAACAAGTACAAATAAATGTTTTCCTGAGAAATCTCATTTGCAGTAATGATATCACGGGAATTTATTGAAACTAATATTCTTCCCTTTATTACCATCTCCATAGTCTCATGCCACCCTTGACACTTCTTGATACTCTCCAAACCGATGCTTTAAAAATCTTCTTCGTTTCCTTTGAAAATGGAAATCTCTCTCTTCTACCTTTTGATTCCCCACTGTGCCTCTTCGATAGGGGCTTGGATTCAGTGATCCATAAGGTCCCTTCTCTGCAATTCTAAGGTGGTGGTGGTGATGATAATATATCTCTTTAAGGGGATTGTAAGTTGGGCCCCTCCGGTGTGTTTCCTCAGCCGACCACTCACCTGTCTGCTGCTGCCATACACAACCAACCACTCAGCCTGGTAGAAGGCAGGATGATGGGCTTCTCTGCCAGGTCAAAGAGTGGCTAATGCATTGCGAACTGCAAAGTAATAGGAAGGGATCACGGAGCCTGCAGCAGCGGTGGACAGGTGAGTGTTATCTGCACATGTGGGGGGATATTTGTATACGAATACCCCCATTTCTAAATCTGAATTCTTCTGCTTCTTTCCACCTGCTTCCCAAGCTTTACAATACCTGATGGAGTTTTGAAAGCTTTTTTGTGTTTTGGTGGCCCAAGAACTGTATTACTAAACTCTTTTTTTATTTTATATACAGACCACCTACCTCAGCTTCTCTTTCTTACACGTGCTGTTTTACTATTTTGAAGACAAGAAAGCATCACTATGTCAAATTGACTTGACAGCACACAATTATTATAATTATGTATAATAGAAGCATTTTGTAATATTTATACTTTCCACTTCTCACTACAAAATCAGTAAAAGGTTCATAATGACTGTTCATTCAGTCTTAGGAAAAGCTAAATATGCTAACACTGATGGCAATCTGAATGTTAATGTTCATTACACATATACACAGACTTATATGCATATATACATCGACATCTAATGTACACATACATTATTGAGAAGTGGAAGCATTTTACTTCCAGAAAATAAATGTCTGCCCTGTCCTTAACAGTCTCGCGCTCAACAGCAGCATTGTTGCTTGCAAGTACTTCCCTTTGCTCCTTCGAAAGTGATAAAGATGAGTGGGCAGGATATAAATTCAAAGAACAACCATGCTCTGCAATGTAGTTAGCACCAATTATCTGAGTATTAGTTCTACTGATCACCTACACAAGGTCATGACATTGATTATCAACTTCTCCTTTCTGGAAAATAAACCTATTTAGAAGTGGTTTAGCAGGACAGCAAAGCAAAGCAGGAAATGAGATGTGTTACAAAGGATGAATTTAATGGTACAGTATTCCAACATTATTTTCCATGAAGGCAGGAATGGGGCCAAGACAAGGTATTGCACTCCAACTCCAGTCTTCTGAAAATCAATTCTTAGTAATGTCCTTTGGTAACGAAAGCATTTGACCGGTACAAACAAGAGAAGCAAAGCATTCCTGAAAACAGGATGTTTGAGATACTACCTTATGGCTACTTGTAGATAATACACTCAAATTATTTTTCTTAGACCAGCAGGTTTCTTTTTAATGAGAAAATTAGCAGCAATGGAACTCATGTATTAACTTGTCCCTATGCCTTTATCCTCTTATCTCTGCAACATGAATAACTTCTGCACAAAGGAAATAACCTTGCTTGGTAGGTGAAAGGGTGGGTAATCAAACTTACATGGAAGCAAATTTCTATGAAGTTAATAGGTCTTAAAAGAGACTGTGGGTAAAAAATAAGTTCCGCATTTTATACAGTAACGTATTTTGAAATTCTATGGGACTCAAAAAAATTATGTCAGGCAATTTTTCCCTCTCTCTAACACAACTTTCTCTGCCTTCTCCTTCCTCCCCACCTAGCAAGGTGTTGAGGAAAGGCGCAAGCACTGTTGCGGAGACCCAAACTGATCAGCCAGTTCAAAGAGTTTTGAAACCAGGGACATCTGCAGTCAGTCAGACTGTAGCGGACAACAAAGCTGAAGTTGCTCACCCTTGCTTTGAAAACAACAATAATGCCGATTGTACTTTTACAATGTTTCTTTTTCACTGACATCTTTGAGGAATAAAGAACTATCATAAGGTAAGAATCCTGTACATAAGTTGGCACCACAATAACAGGCCTTCTTAGATTCTTCATCTTGCTGAAGCCTGTCCTGATCTTTTATGGGCAAATAATTGTGATACCTTCCAGAATAATCGTAGGTAAGTTCTTCACCTTCACAAATATCACGGGCTGCAAACAATGCCAACTTGGGCACCACAGAGTCTATTCGGATAGGGACCATAAAGAGGTTGGGTTCACAAGAGTGGTTCAGAAACCTGCCAATATTACCTATATGGGTGGGATCCACGTATGTCTCCATTATCCGTCCATCCCACAAATGTTCCCTTAAAGCTATAATATAATTTGGATCACTTGGCGTCTGCAACTGTATCCTTCTATGCGCTTCTCCAAAGTCTAGGATTTCCCCAGCATACTCGCACACAAACCTTCCTTTAGGTATAAACTCCACAGTGCGAAGGCCCCATCCTTTCTTAGCAGTTTTGAAGACTTCAAGTCTGAATTGCAGACCCCTTTGAATCACTCTGTTTTGGCACAACTCTCCACACTGGCACATGGTATTGCATTCAAATATAGGCTTTGAAAAATCCAGTTCATTCCCTTCATTGTTAATGCACAAATTGTTATAATTCTCTCCATAAGGAAGGCATGAACACTTGGAGACCAGGCAGGAAGCAGAATGGCAGCTGCATCCAGGAAAGGAGATCTCAGAAGGGTGTGGTCCACCTTCCTTTCCGGCCACATGATCAGGACTATACTGCAAAAGAAAAAAGAGTGAAAAATGGGTGCCAACAGATGAAATGGCCCAATTATAAAGACCATGCAATTAGGAGGATTGTCTTCATAACTGCTGAGATACAAAACAAAATGTGAAGTGTAATGGTTTCTGACATTTTAAAAGTGCAACTCTGAATATAACTGCACTGAAGAGCTTTCAAAATATCAGAAAGTAATTTTCAATACCAAGGCTCACAGTTTTAACAAGTTAAACCACTAACTGATCATGAGCCACGTTGTTCTTCTAAGAAAGAAGATGAAGCTTCTGCTTTGAAAAAGAGTTCAACTACTTCGATTTTGAACTGGGTGTGACTCGCACACAATGGGACAAAGTTGTGGACAGCCTGAAATCAAAGCAGGAAGTCTTTAACCAGTGGCAATCTGGTGGTGACATCACTCCCAGTGTGCCAAAAGAATTACACAACAGAGTTTCATCTGCCACCAGTTGGTTTGTCATTTCTAGGGCTTTACTTCTGATTCTGGATCTTAGAGATTACCAACTTACACCTTCAGAAAAACAACACATGCCCTCATGTTATAATACATGTGTGTGTCATTTACTTAATGTCTGATTAACAATTTAATTGTAATGTAACCATTTCTTTTCCTAAAATGAAAATGGTCAAGAAGGATAGAAGATGAGATAGAATATACCACTTATGTTATGCCAAACCTGAAAAAAATTAAGTTTAAATACAAACAAGAATGAAACATTAAATTTAAGAATAAGAATAGAAAGAAAAAAATGAAGTAAATGTGCATATTTTAAAACTAATACATTTGCTGCTCAGATATCAGGCATGAAAAGCTGGGACAAGTATGGAAAGCCTTTGTTTGTATCTGTTTCCTAGGTAATTCCTTTAGATAACTATTTTCTACAATGCAGGTGCTCATCCATGTGCACTGGCCAAGGATACACTAATAATTTAATTCCTATAAGCAGCCCATTAGCCAAGCAAGGACAACATTATCCTGTCAGCTCACACAAATTTCACGCTTCTAATTTTATCTAAAGCAACCAGCCATGATTCAGTGAATTCTGTACAAGAAATGCACTCTTTAAGAAAAGAGGAAAAGCATGAAGGGAAATTATTCTTTGTCTACATAAGGAAACAAGCAAAAAGAAGCAGATGGTGGAAGATAAAATCAGAAATATTTCAACCTATATGCACACATAGCTATGAGAGACTACACACTGTTGTAACAGAAAGTTATTAACAAATCATTAACACCACAAAGCCATTTAAAAGTTAACCTATCACAGTTGCAGTAAATGATAAAGAAACTCAAACAGTAACAACCACTACTCACCTTAGAACTGGAAGGGACCCTATGGATCACCAAGTCCAGCCCTTATCAGGGCTGAACTGAAACTCTCAACCTCTGATTCCACAGCCAAATACAGTCTTAAGCTCCCCAACTACATAGGACGAGTGATACTTCCACACAAAAAGCCCATCCCCTTTGACAAAGTATTGGAAATTTATCATGAAGTATTTATTTCCAATACTTTGTCAAAGGGGGTGGGCTTTTTTGTGTGTGGAAGTATCACTAATTTGTCATATGTGTGATTACACAAAAGTATATCCTCTTGCATTTAATAGTTTTGTCTCCAGGAGGCCCACCTAGAAAAACAGCTAAAGTTCTCCTGAAAACTGTATGACACTGATTGTAATGTACTGCAATTTTATTTATCTATTCAGTTTGTTCATCTAAACAATTAGACTCCAAACACAGGCTGGCCAATGCCACAATAGTCAGATCTACTGCATTCCTAAGAGCTTGGTCAAGCCACCTTGCCATGTTTTCTGTTGCCTTGAGGGTTTCAGATTCGTTCTATGTGACTTATTGTGGAAGGTAGACAGTGGCATCCCCAGATGCACAGGAAAATGCCACGGAAAACATATGCTGGAAGCATGAGTCTCATACGAAGAAGTACCAGATTAGATATACAGGCTTAGGAACCACAACTGTAACTCTTACTAGTCACCACCAAAATCAAAGGATAGGTGAAACCAGTCAATTCAATCAAGCAATAGATATGAACACATGCAGCTAAAAAACCTGATTCGTTTCAAGGCATTCTGCATCTAGTCTGCCCTGTGCCCCTTGCCAAGTGTACTTTGTAGCAGCAGATAAACTCTTGGCACCACTTTTCTGGCTTGAGGTCCTCACCTTACAAGTGAATCCCAAATCTGAAAAATTCAGATTACAGTGGTGCCCTGCATAGTGACGTTGATCCGTTCTGGATTAATCATCCCTATCCGGAAACATCCCTATGGCCCCTTGCCAAGTGTATTTTGTAGCAGCAGATAAACTCTTCGGACCACTTTTCTGGCTTTAGGTCCTCACCTTACAAGTGAATCCCAAATCTGAAAAGTTCAGATCATTAATTTAAAAAAAAGTTCAAAAAGAAAGTTAAAAATATTTTACTAAAACAAGGTTGTTGTTGTGTACTGTTATTGTGTATTGTCAAGTTGATTCTGATTTATGTTAATCCAAACTTCATTAATTGCGTTCCTATGGGGCAAAAACTCATCGTTATCCGAAGATCCTCCACAGCGCCGCCATTTTCGCCGCCTCAGTAAGTGAGGGCAGCGCGCGAAAATGCTTGCAGTGGCCATTTTGTTGATGCGGCGGCCATTTTGGAACCGCCGATCAGCTGTTCTAAAAACATTGCAATGCGAAGATCGGTAAGCGAAACGCTATGCGGATTCGTCATTAAACGGTGCGCTCGTTATGCAATGCACCACTGTATTAATTTTAAAAAAACATTCAAAAAGAAAGTAAAAAATATTTTACTAAAACAAGGTTGTTGTTGTATACTGTTATTGTGTATTGTCAAGTTGATTCTGATTTATGTTAATCCAGGATTTTTTGAGGTAGAAAATACACAGAAGTGGTTTACCATTCCTTTCCTCTGGTGGCACTCTGGAACTATGCAACTTGCCCTAAGTCACACAGGTTGGCTCTTCTCCATGGAGGCAGACTGGGGAATTGAGTTCCACAGCCAGATACCTAAACCACTGAGCATATTTTGTTTTAGAGAACCATATCCCCTTAAAGGCTGAATTCGCCAATGTTTCTAGGGAGAGAAAATTACAGAAAAATGCACCACTGTATTAATTTTAAAAAAACATTCAAAAAGAAAGTAAAAAATATTTTACTAAAACAAGGTTGTTGTTGTATACTGTTATTGTGTATTGTCAAGTTGATTCTGATTTATGTTAATCCAGGATTTTTTGAGGTAGAAAATACACAGAAGTGGTTTACCATTCCTTTCCTCTGGTGGCACTCTGGAACTATGCAACTTGCCCTAAGTCACACAGGTTGGCTCTTCTCCATGGAGGCAGACTGGGGAATTGAGTTCCACAGCCAGATACCTAAACCACTGAGCATATTTTGTTTTAGAGAACCATATCCCCTTAAAGGCTGAATTCTCCAATGTTTCTGGGGAGAGGAAATTACAGGAAAAAAATCCTGTTTCCAGGGTCCGCAAAAACATTGACTCCCACCTCTGTTCTAAAGGAAGGCCTTCCTTGACTAGATTTAGGTGAAAGGGTCCACTGTATATTCCAGCCACAGTTGTTTCTCCTGTCTATAAGATGGATAAATGTGGGCTTAGCTATCTCAGTCCTTTTGTTGCAAAATGGTAAAAAAAATCCCTTGTATGTTCAGGAATGTTAAAAAAAGAAAAAGAACTAATTGAAAGGAGTCTTGTTGGAAACCTGGATACGTCAATCAAGACCGAAAAGATACACATCAAAAAAGAGGTATTTTTTGGCACAGCATTAAAGAACCGTGTTGACTTAATTTTTTTTTCTTAGCTTGTCCTTCATTTTGCCCTCCTTCTTCCTCTCAAATTTAATCAAAATTTTAAATTGCTATGGGACACTGCCTTGCTATTACATTACCCTTGGAACAAAGCACGGGTGCCCACTCTAAAATAAAATTACTTTATTTTAAAGTACAGCTTCAAGAATAGTTGCATCCTCGGTTGTAACAGGTGGATGGTATGAAGAGTACAGTATGGCCCAAATGGAAGCCCATTATCAAGATTAACCTTTCACTGTGTTTTCATTATACCACTGATCTCACTCCTGATGCCAAAACAATGGTAGTATTTGTATCTCCATAGGAGAGGCATATGCAGTCAGACACCAGAACCTAGTCATCCCCTCTTCTACCTAACATACTTTAACAAAAGCTACTCTGATGATTTTTGAGACACAGGCAAACTCGTAATGGAGATAAACAGATCCTAGTTTTCATGGTAAGCTGCTTCCTCTTGAATTCAGTCTGGAAAAAAATAACAGGGCAGACTTGGAGGAAATCTGATCATACATAACACTCTTCATAGAATCATAGAATAATTGAGTTGGAAGGGGGCTATAAGGCCATTGAGTTCAACCCCCTGCTCAATTCAGAAATTTAAACCAATTAAAGTTGACTCAAACAACTGAAAACTGATGTGAATTACCTTTTTGAAGGGTAACAGTGAAGTGATTTTGCAACAGACAAGAGTGACCTCCAGCGGACGCAATGCATTCTACAGAATCATTTAATAATTGGGATTGGGAAGGAAAAGAAAATTATCTGAAGCGATGCTCCAGGTATCCGGAACAATCCCTTTACCTTTAACATCTGCTCTAGATGTAAAAAAATATATGCTGAGGTGTTAAGACAAAATGTTTCTTGCTCTTGAGCCTCTGCTGCTAATGTCACTGGAAATATGCAAGAAACAGCTATCACCTTTTTCAAAACACGTATGCCGTACATCAAAACAGAAAAGGGCAAAACTAGATCGAATTAAATTGGCACCAATCAAGCTTAGTATAAAATTGTTTAGGCATAGGATATAATGGTCTAATATTATTCCAAGTAAAAGAGACCGAAATACAGTACTTGTTTTACAATACCTAGATCTGCAGAAACATAGGGCCCAGTCTTGTGCAGTGCTGAGAAATCAACAGTTTAAACGTAACTATCCACATAAGGTCAGGATATCAGATAGAAAGATTTCAGAACCACCTTGTTTGTTGGACAGCATCAAAGTCATTAGATTTTTGTTACGGACATCACTGGGATTGATACTGAGGATCATTGTATGCCAAAAGCCTGTTTTGTTTTTTTAAAAAATCTGAACTACAAAGAATGCACAGATTGTGTGTTAGATAACAAGACCTGTTTATGCTGCCTGGAGAATTTCAGTTTTAGTACGAGCACACACATTAGCACACATCTCCGATTTTCTGACAGTATCTACCAGAATGAATATAGCTCTTGATTTTTTTTAAAAAAATACCTATTCATTTGGAAGACCTTGCCTGTTCCATTTCTTTTGCTCTAATGTATTTATTTGAAATATTTTTATCCCACTGTTCTCCACAAAAGGACCCATCAGTTCTAACTTATGGCAACTGTTTTCAGGGCTTTTTTTTAAAGGTAGGGAGTACTCAGAAGTGGGTTACCATCCTCTTCTTCTGGTGATGCCCTGGGATTTTGCAGCCTGCTCAAGGCCACAGAAGCTGGCCCTACTCACAGGAGGCAGAATGGGGAATTGAACTCTCAACCTCTGGCTCCGCACCCAGAAACCTAACTCTCTGAGCTATCCAGCCAGCTTACTTTTGCTCTAGCAACATGTAGCTGTCTTGTTTGCTGAACGGAATGTGGTCGAAAAAGAGCCACATTCTTGAAAACTCAGGTTCTTTGCTCCTGCTCCAAAAGACGTGAGAAATCAGGAACCTGAAAAGGTCTCGCTGTGCATCTTGATAATTATGGATGCTTCTGGCATGAAGTGGGGCAGCAGACTGTTGCAGAAAGTAGTATAGGAGAGAGAAAATGACAAAACATAGCTCTGGAAAAATTTTTTAAATAGAAATAAGAAAACAACCCAGGAGGAGCCACTTGATCCCCTCAAGATGTTGCTGGATTGCAATTCTTAACAGACGTAGCTAGCAGCACAGCCAGTGGTGAGAGACAGTGAGAGTTGCAGAAGAGCAACAGCTGGAGGGCCACCACTTGCCCATTCCCGAACTGTTGTTGTTTAGCTGTTTAGTCTTGTCTGACTCTTTGTGACCCCATGGACCAGAGCGCGCCAGGCCCTCCTGTCTTCCACTGCCTCCCAGAGTTGGGTCAAAGTCATGTTGGTCGCTTCAATGACACTGTCCAACCATCTCATCCTCTGTCGTCCCCTTCTCCTCCTGCCTTCACACCAACATCAGGGTCTTTTCCAGGGGGGTCTTCTCTTCTCATGAGATGGCCAAAGTACTGGAGCCTCAGCTTCAGGATCTGTCCTTCCAGTGAGCACTGAGGGGTTAGTTTCCTTCAGAATGGATAGGTTTTTTCTCTTTGCAGTCCAGGGGACTCTCAAGAGTCTCCTCCAGCACCACAATTCAAAGGCATCAATGGTAATTTTCTGAACTGAGTTCGCCCATTCCCATCCATTTTAGTTCAACTGACACCCAGGATGTCAACGTTTATTCTTGCCACCTCCTGTTTGACCACCTCCAGCTTCCCAAGGTTCATAGATCTTACATTCCAGGTTCCTATGCAGTATTTTTCTTTGCAGCATCGGACTTTCCTTTCACTTCCAGGCATGTTCACAGCTGAGCATCCTTTCGGCTTTGGCCCAACCACTTCATTAGCTCTGGAGCTACTTGTCCTCCGCTCTTCCTCAGTAGAATGTTGGATGCCTTCTGACCTGAGGGTCCCATCTTCCAGCATCCTATCTTTTAGCGGTTGTTGTGGGTTTTTCAGGCTCTTTGGCCGTGTTCTGAAGGTTGTTCTTCCTAACGTTTTGCCAGTCTCTGTGGCCGGCAACTTCAGAGGACAAGCACTCTGTGCTTTGGTGTAGTTGGCTTTGGGAGTGCTGAAGATGCCGGCCACAGAGACTGGCGAAACGTTAGGAAGAAGAACCTTCAGAACACGGGCAAAGAACCCGAAAAACCCACAACAACCATTATATCCCGGCTGTGAAAGCCTTCGCGAATATATCTTTTAGCCTTTTGTTTCTGATCATGGGGCGTTCTTGGCAAAGATACTGGAGTGGCATTGCCATTTCCTACTCCAGGTGGATTGCGTTTAGTCAGAACTCTCCACTATGACTTGTCCGTCTTGGGTGTCCCTGCACGGCATAGCCCATAGCTTCTCTGAGTTACTCAAGCCCCTTTGCCACGACAAGGCAGCAATCCGTGAAGGGGATCCCCAAATTGATAGTTCATAAATAGAAAGTTCAAACTCTGTAGAAAGCTTAGGAAAAGAGGTCTACGTCTGCATGAAACCCCTGCCCCTTAATTCCACATTGGTCTGCCCTCGGGCCTAGAGTTGCGGGGAAGCCGGTTTGAAAACGTTTATCAAACCGAGAAAGGGTCCTCTAAAAAGAACTACAACTTCCAGCATCCCTTGCGCGAGAAGGGAGCGTGGCTAGAAACCGCTGCTTTGCCTCTGCTGGCGCCAGCAGCTACTCCTAAAACTGGCTCTCCCCCCCCCCCTCCAATCTATCNCTTCCCAGATACTGCGGGGATAGCCTGGCTCTTGCCCTCACCTGGAATGCCGGGGGCTCCTCGGAGGGCGGCCATAAGGAGACAGGGAGAGTCTCCAACCCTCGACTGACGTCCATCTTGCATCGCTCGCCCATCGGAAAAAGAAGCAGCGGGTTCAGGAGTTTATCCCGCCTCTCCTTTGTTGAGATTGGCTGCCCTACCACGCTTTTGTTGAATGAATGGCCGGGCGAAATTGAATGACAAACGAAAGATTAAAGTTCGAAGCGGCGCGCAGGCCCTTCAAAGTGCCTTCAGGTTTAAAACATAGACATGAAATAATAGAGGCATGCATAAGCTATTACATACGGGGTTCAACTAGCAACCTTTTTTTTCTCCCTCTCTTTAGGTAGCTGGGAGCAGTACGGAAGAACTGCCCATAGGAAACAAAGGGGAAAAAACCCAAGATTTTAAAATACCACTATTGGAAATGTCGCTGCCACCCACCACAGTCTCTCTAAACGAAAAATAGTTGTAAAAACGCGAGTTCATGGTTTTAAAAACTCAGGTCTTATTGTGTATGGAGCAAGCTTATGGTGGCTTTTTATAAAGTAGTCAGTACAGTATTGAAAGGTACAAACGATCTCCATGCAAGCCAGAGGACCGCTAGGCGATTCTGTTGAATTTGAATGATAAAGGGTCTTTGACTGGAAAGTAGCGTCAGAAGACTACCATGCAGGGCTGTGGTTAAGACCCCTGTCTTCGTAGAAGCACACCAGCGTAGAATAACACGTTAAAAAAATCCGCCTCCAAATAAAGATTTATTGGAGCCAAATAACCAAGGAGGTTTGTACAGTACAGTACTTTAAAGACGAAGAGCTTTCTCGAAGGCACTGACAGATTCATTATGCCATGATTTGTCAGGTCCCAAAAGCTTATGCTTTGTAGTTTTGATTGCTAAAGTGTAACACATTGCTGTCTCTATCAGTTGTATGTGAGGTGCCATAGAATTCACAAGGCATCTAAACATCTTTAAAACTTCGCAAATGCATCAGTTATACGTATTTATCACATCAAATGAGGTATTGTCTAGGAAAAGCAGGATTTCCTGCCTTTATTTTTAACTATTGTTTTGTTTTGTTTCCAAATGGATGATATGGGCATGCTGATATCCAGTCACTGCTACTCTGTACTTCTCTGTTTTTTTGGGGGGGGCAGGGAAGCTCCCACTCACAGAGGAGGACAGCACCAAGAGGGAATGTGCTACCTTCAAACTGTTTAGATATAGAATTTTGGGGTTGTTTTGGACTACAAATCCCATTCTGGGAGTTCCATCTGATGTACAGACACCTAAATGTGGTGGGATGTTTTTTGTGGGAACACACAAAGGGCAAACTTTTATAGGACACAATTTGCCAATAACTATGTTGTGATCTGATAGTTACCTAATATCATCCACTGGACATGACCAAAGAGGATGGACTGTAGCTATTGCAGCCTGTTGCCCCCAAGACCCAAACTCTTCAGGCAGTCCAGAAAAATACTGTGGTTTAAAGGTGTCAAAAGGTTGCAAGTGACCAAGAGAACTATTAAGGTTGCAATCCTCCTACCCTGTTCCCAGAATAAGTAATCCATCGAGGTGATGAAAGCAATGCCAGTTGTTACAAAGTTCAATGTATATGCTGTCTTGAACCCACTGGAGTAAAAGCAAAATAGAAGTGTGATTAATAAATGAATATTCCAGCAAGAAGCCTGAAGTGGATCAAGATAATTATAGCACTATTTATCCCCTGAAGTTTCCCTGCGTTGCTAGGATGGATTACTCCTTAGTGTTAGTGTTTGCCGTACATAAGGTGGCAAATGGAATCCTTGATTTTTTTCGCCAGCCAAATTATCACAAATGGAAGGGCTTCAAGACACCTCTGCAGTTTGCTGGCCTTGATCTTCTGGTTCAGTACGAAGCGCTGTCACACAGTCACTGGAACAAAGTACATATGGTCTGTTCATGTGTTGCTTGTGTATATAGCATGAGTATGTTGAAGGAAGAACAGCTATGTTTTTAGGTCAGTTCCCTATGTTGTATCCTCTGAAATTTGCAAGTGTGGCTGTCTGCAAAGCAACACTGAAGTGAAAGCAGCTACTTGTGCATGTAGGGACTCTGGCTGAAACACTTGATTGGATGGATACCCCGATTAGACAGAGCTGCTCCTACACATGAGAAAATACTTGTACATCGAGGTTCCTTTGCTCACAACCACAATTAATACATGCATGCCTGGGAATGAAGTAAGACGTCAATGGTGGAGCTAAAAGTGTAATACTGTACTGCTTCTTCAACATGGAAATGTCAAACTTGTTACCTTGAAAGTAACATGTGAATGAGGTGAAAAGGCTGGGTTCCACCCTGTAGGTTTTTAAAGATATAGAAAATAAAGGCTGAACATGTGGTTATCCAGGCTGGCCATTAATAATAGGCATAGCCATGAATTCATTCAATCCCCTTAAGACCAAATCTTTAGTGCCTTTTTATGTTTTGTGAAGAAATTTAGTTTAGTTTAGTTTTGTTTTGTGCCTTCTATCTCTTTTCCATAGTCTTTTAGATCAGAACAAATTATAGTTCCCCATTCACCATACAAATGCTATTGAACATTGTCCTGCAGAAACCATGAAAAGATAAAGCAAGAAAGGGATGATTGGAAAGAGGCAAGAGTGACAGGAATGCATTGTTTTACCAGATTTCGATGCTTCAGCTCTTACAATAATTATGTTTAATACTTTCCTTGTCTTATTCCCAGCACACTCTCAGCCAAATTGATACTGACCATTAATTTTAGCCACAAAGCCAATCCCAGTCAACTCTAAAACTCCATTAATTATTGTTACAGCTTACAGAGTATTGAAAAATACTTAATAGCTAACTATTTCATAAACCTCACTGTAGTAACTCTACTGTGACATGCTGCAGAGTCAGTGGCTTGTCAATGTGTCCTTTTAAAAGGCAAGTTTATTATCTGAGGGTCACAGCTGGTTTCTCATGATCTGAGAAGCAAATAGGAAGTCAACAATTGCTTCCCGGGCTTTTGCAAGCACTAGGAGTAGCTTAATGAGAAGGAAATAGCAGAGGACTTGAAAGCACAATCAAACTATTAGAAGAAGAAAGTCAACTAGTTGGTAATACACTTGACTTCTCTTTGAAAAGCAATGGTAACTAAAGATATCACCTCTCAACTGTACCCTACCATAGCATAGGCATCCTTCAGTCTCGAAAAGTCAACTAGTTGGTAATACACTTGACTTCTCTTTGAAAAGCAATGGTGACTAAAGATATCACCTCTCAACTGCACCCTACCATACTACCTGAATACATTTCATCTCAATTACAGATGCATTATATAGGCTGCATTAATTTCTTGACAACCAAGATCATATTCTCATAAGGTAGACAATATTGGCTATTGTCTCAGTATTAATTCAGTTAATGTGCAATGTCACATCTGCTAAATACGGTAAATGGTCCCATAAAAACATTATACTACTGGCAATTTCTGAAAGAAATTGAAGTGAAAGGACTTGGAAACATTGTATTATATCTTGGAATTCAAACAGAAAAGGAGGAAGATGGAAGTTATCTCCACAACTAAACATTGTTGACTTACCTGACTTTTTAGAAGTGGCAAAGACTAAACCAGTGAGCACTCCAGTGGCAACTAAGTTCTACAAGCAAGGTGAAGATAAACCTCTTCCTAACAATGAACAGTACAGGAAGCTCATTGCAAAGGGAGCCAGATCAGACATAGTAGTAGCTATTGGAATACTATCTAGGAGACAATGTTCTTTTACTCAAGGAGACTGGACAAGACAATGGGGAGATTCCTTAAGAGCGCAGCAGATCTGAAACTCAGATTGCGAACAAATGGGAACAAATGCAGCAAAACAAAGATGGTATGAATACTTGCATCTTTTATTGTGTCGAAGAGAGTGACCAAATGGCCAACGCTTGCTGGAGTTTTGCTGTTATTATGGTCTTTGTGTCAGCAAGACATTCTTTAATACGAAGCTTCAACACAGAGTTTCCTGGAGACATCCAAGATCCAAGCATTGGGATCAGCTCGATTTGATCCTCACTTGACGTTGTAACCTTCCTACTATTGCGATCACACGGAGTTACCAGAGTGCTGATTGCGATACTGATCACTCCCTGGTGTGTAGTAGAGTAAAACTGTGAACAAAGAGATTGTATCACACGAAAAAGGAAGATCACGTATTGATATCAGCAAGACTCGCAATCGAAGAAAAGTGGAGGAATTTGCCCAAGTGCTTGAGGAAACCCTTCCAGGCCCAGCTGATGCAAATGCACCTGAACAATGGGAACATTTCAAGAACACTGTTTATAGCACCGCCTTGTCCTCATTTGGCAAGAAAACCAACAAGATGGCAGACTGGTTTGAAGCCCATTTGGAAGAGTTGATATCAGCTGTCGAGGATAGGAAGAGAGCTCTAGCAGCATACAAAGCCTGTCTTCAAGCTGCTCGTAGTAAAGTCCAACAGGCTGCCAGGAGATGTTCTCAAAATTATTGGCTTCAGCTCTGCTCTCAGATACAGATAGCAGTGGACACATTCAAGGGAATGTATGATGGTATCAAGCAGGCTTTAGGTCCAATACAGAAGAAATCTGCTCCCCTGAAGTTTGCTACAGGTGTGATCATCCAGGATCGAGCACAGCAGATGGAACGCTGGGTGCAGCACTACTCTGAGAGAATGTAGTAACCAAAGAAGCATTAAACAACATTGAGTGCCTGCCTGTCTTGGAAGAGTTGGACAGCGAGCCAACTTTAGCAGAAATAAAAGCGGCCTTGGATTCCCTTGCCTCCGGAAGGATAACATCCCTGATGAAGTGCTGAAGTGCTGTAAAGAGATCATCACCACTGAGCTGTATGAAATCTTTTGTCTTTGCTGGAGGGAAGGTGGAGTACCACAGGACATGAAGGATACAAACATTGTCACATTGTATAAGAACAAAGGAAACAGGGAAGCTGTTTGTCCGTGTTGTGCTGAAGAGACTCCAGGTGCTTGTAGACAGAGTCTATGCAGAATCACAGTGTGGATTTTGAGCTAATAGATCCACCACTGACATGGTATTCTCCCTCAGACAGATGTAGGAGAAATGTGAGGA